ATTTCCTTTGCTCCTGGCAGTCTGATGGTCGTTGAAACTGTTAAGCGTTCGTGGAGTAACTGAATTTAAGTCGAAAGCTTGATGAACTAAATTTATTTGGAGCAATGGCACACCACATTTCAAAGAATTTCGATATCCTTTTAACAATGCTCGTAGTCAAGTTCTTTCGTCTTTCTTTCCTGCTTATGATAGGTGCAAAATGCGACACATGGACTGGAACAATTCTTTTAAAGCTATTCTAAAATCGCGCATTCTTATTGCGTAAACCCAAGGATCGCAAACCGCACTGAAATACGAAATAACAGCTATCCAAATCCAAATTGTTCTGTGGAAACTATTACATTTTATCACATTTATATCAGGTTGGTGAAATACGTACATACAGTTGAAAATAAAACACGGCATGAAGAAAAAAATAAACAGTCCTGTAATAATCCTAAATGTGTTCGCTGTTTTCCTTTGTCTCTTGGATTCCGCCATCTGTTGAGCTTCTGTTATGTTCTCGCGCACGGGAAAAGTATTTTTGGTTCCTTGATAGATTCTGAAATAACAGAAAGCTATTATACAAAATGGAATAAAGACAGAGATTATATCACTGTGGATCCACATTTCAACCAGGTTTTCTTCAGGAACTACGTACATCATAGTCGCGCCCAATAAAGCGAAACACCACGAGAACATTATCAAAATCAAACTTCTTGTCGAGGTCATTCTGTTGTGATACTGCAAAGGAGAAGTTATTGCGATGTATCTATCCAACGCAACATTACTCAAGTTAAAGGTTACAGATGTTGTAGTAAAAAACCAAATGGCTGATTCGGTTTTTAACGGGAGGCTGTCTTTTCTGGAGAGAATCAGGCTAAAGTAGAGATTGGCGATGAATCCCGCGAGAAGTTCTGCTGCAGCGAGTGAAGCCATAAAATGACGTGCTGTAGATCGCAGTGAGTGAATCTTTCGAACAGCCAAAAGAACGCCCAGATTTTCCACGACGGCTAAAATTCCAGAAATACAACATACAGTTCTTAAGGTGGCAATGAAAGTTATCGATAGATCATATCGTGGACATGCCATGGTTGAAAAGTCAAAAGGAACTAGTGATAACAAAGTGCGATTTAAAGGTTTCAATTATGTTAGGTTGCCCCTCAGCGCTCTAATGAGAGGTAAACGAGAGAAAACTGTTAAAATTGTCATCCATGCGATTAGTACTAAACGTTAGTCTGTTTAACTTTTTTAAAATCTTATCATGATCATCAGCCAATAGGAACACGTTGCTTGAAGTAATCAGTTCCTACGGTGTAATTGCCTTCTGGCATGTGGTCTATTTCGGTTGCAAACAATGACAAAAAAACTAAGTAATCGTGGCGGGTGGGTTTGAAAATAATTCTGAGAAAGCCGCTAATAACACAACACAAAAAACAGCTGGTGTACAAAGTGGCTCTTTTATAAAGTGGCTCGTCGACAGCTAAATTGCTTGATACATTCGCTCAAAGCAAGCAAGCAAGCAAGCAAGCAGGAAACATCACTAGCATCACTGACAGCACACTTAAGGTTATGGAATAAACGCCTTAGCTCTCTAACATTATTCTCAACTATTTGATAAAATTGTAATGGCGCTCAATAATTTTTGCTTTGGCAGATTTCGCTATATTTTTAATCAGTGTCTTTTAAATTTGTAAGTTTGTTACGTTTGACTTTTAGGCTCATATATTTTAATTATCCTGTCTGTTTATTTTCATTTTTAGCATCGGGGACGATGCTCACACTGAGAAGGAGGGCATGTTATGAAGCTCAATAATTTTTATAGAACTCAGTATGTTTGGTTCGTGATCACCAATTTATTATTTTGTAGTTACCACGTTAGTCTTGTGATTCTAGGGCTCGAGTGCCAGCACAGAGAGTCTTATGACTTCAAGTTGTTTATCTCAGTTTATCGAGTACTTAATCTTCGAACAATATAGCTTCCATCGGTCATGTTTGGGTTAGTCTACTGACCTTGGTTAAGTCCTTCACTGAATTTCCTGTTTTGGCTTAAGTTCTTAAGGCTGAATGTTCTACTCGTTGTATCAAGCGCTTTGCTATTTATTCGCAGGCGTCGCATGAAAGTGTTTGGGTTAGTGTCCTGTAAAGATGTTTAATCCTCCAAGGTCAGTCACCCCGTACGGCACACATGTCTACCCATAGGGTATTTAAGTGCGTTTGCACCTGTAACTTGAGCATCAAAAGTTAGATGAAGATTATGCTAAACAGGAGTCAGTCCGAGAAAGACCAGATTCTCGGTACCTCTCGTTTTAGCCGCAGCAAACCAATAAAATAAAAAGAAAAACAAACTGACCTGTTTAGTCACATGTACACATCACGTACCTATTTTTCTTAATTGGCTGGGGTTTTTTTCTTTACTATTTTGACGTAAGAAGTCAAATAAAACGCTCACCCGCAAATTAGAAATTTAACGTTTTTTCCCACCAGGCACGGAGGTGACTTTCTAAAAACAGCAATTGAAATTCTGGGTATATTAAATATCACTGTCAACAATATGATTACTCTTACGTGATCACAGACTGGAATAGTCTTTGACTCTTACTAAAACTGATAGCATATTAACAGGTCTACAGATTGATTTTCTAAATAAATGACTGACGCTGTGATAAACCCACACGCCTTTTCTCGTTATCTCATTGAGGCATGACTCACAGGTCCATCCGCCGGGATGGACTCGTTGCATTCAATATAGCTTGCTGGATTTTCTAATGTTTACTTTGTAACAGTTGCCTTGACAGCCTGTTTACTGCTTTCTTCTAGAATTCCATGCAAATGTCGATTTACATAAAACAGTTTCTTAAGAACCTGTAGGCGCTAGTTCTCAAGCCATACTGGCTATTTTTTTTTTCTTTTTTACAATAAGACGATAATTTAGGGGTAGCTCTGGTTTGTTTTGTTGTTTCCCTTTTCGCTTAGGCAACTACACTTATCCTCTAATCCTCTAAGCCACTTTTATCAATAACGTCGTGTAGTAACTAGCTCAGTCACGGCTAGTACTTTAGGTGTTTTGAATACCCGGCGTTCAAGGCATTCCTCGTATAGGACATACAATAGTCATACTAAGCTCGTAGATTGGACCGCTCTGACTCAATTCTAAGAGAGGGCGTCCGGAATAGGCGGACACTAAAAAGTAATATATCAAACCCGAAAGACCGTGTTCTACCACATTTCCAAACACCGAGAAGAGAGTTGAAAATACGACGCGTATTGGAGTATTTTTGACGAACTTCGAGGTGTTTGGAAATGTGATCAGACACTGTCTCGACTGGTTCATATATCTTCTCAATCGAAACTAAAATTACGGAGAAAACGAGGAACTAAAATCATAAAATTCTATGCTAATTAAGATCAGATATCCAAACACCGTTACGTTCATGGTTTCCTTTGTTTTAACTTAATGAATTGATAATGTTTCGAGAAACAAATGTCCAGGCTTTTCCACGTTCAAAAAGTGACTGATTTTCGTTCGACAATATGATCTCCTTGTTTGATATACCCCTTTACTGCTTGCAGTTTATAGGTAGGAGTTCTTTTAAAGCCATTCTGAAATCGCGCATTCTTATTGCGTAAACCCAAGGATCACAAATCGCGCTGAAATAAGAAATAACAGCCACAGAAACCCAAACTTTTCTTGAGAAACTATCAGTTTTTACGATATTCATATCCGGTGGATTAGCCATCACCTGGACACAGTTAAAAATAAAAGTTGGCATGAAGAAAAATATATACAACCCTGTGATAATCCCAAAGGTGATGCTGTTTTCCTTTGCCGCTT